AGGTTCTTCATTTGTAGATAGTTTTATTATTACGTGCCATTTCCTGACAGTTCCAGAGATGTAAATACTTAAAGGGTCCCAAAGGAATCTAAGCATCATGAAATCTGAACCACTGAACAGAACAGCTCCAGTCACCTCTTAAGGCAGAGGTACTGAGTAATCCATTGCTATCCACCAAGTGAAACCAAGCCTAGAGTTTATTTTTGTCTGGTGTCTCTTCCGGTGTTAGAACTTACCAAGTGTTAGCTGATACTCTAATGGTGAAGGTCTTTGCTCACCTATCATGACATATGGAGTATTATTATTTGTCATGACCAAAGAAGCCAAGGTTTTGAGTAAAGCAATTTCCTGAGCCACCACTTGGAACCGCAGAGTACATTTTCTAAATTGCAAGTGAGACAAACATAAAACAGCCCGCCTTTATTTGGTCGTATTCAAGGATGTTTGCTATCAACGAAGCATCTTCTTCAAAAGAAAGGAATATCATGTTGAAATAGTGTTTTCACTCGTTCCCCTACATGACTGATGGGTTCAGACACTGTTGAGATACTTCCCGCCCTGCGCTGCTTCCTCCCTGTCTTTGACGCCACCGTCCTGCAGAGTTACGGAAATGCACAGACTTCCCATGGAGACATGTCCTCCTCCCTTCCTGACACCTGCCCCTCACCACAACACACTCCCCTCTTATCCTAAGGCGGGCTTACCCCTTGCGCCCTTCCTCCCTCATGGCCTCAGTCACCACCGATGGCCCGAGGTCATCACACTGTTTCGAGACTCATCATGCAAAGGCTGTGCGCGGCCCGTAATGTACCCCAGTGCCCACCCCGCTTCCTCTCCCCCTTTAACCCATAGGCCTCAGTCACCACCGATGGCCCGAGGTCATCACATTGTTTCGAGACTCATCATGCAAAGGCTGTGCGTGGCCTGTAACGTGCCCCAGTGCCCCCCCCCTCCTCTCCCCCTTTAACCCATGGTCTGCTATCAGCAAAATCCTTGTCTCCCGTCAGGATCACCTGCCCCTTCTGTTCTTAATCTTCTCGCTCTGATGCCAGGCCGTCCCTGAGGACCTGCCCCCCGCGCCCCGCTCTCTCTCCTGCCACCTCGAGGGATGGTGGTCTCGTCTCTCATCCCCCTTCCCCACGTCACCGAGCTTGGAGGCGGGGTAGGCATCCTCCTTGCTCATTGCTCTTTCAAAACTTTCTCTTCTCTCCTCCCTCGGGAAGACCACGACCTCTGTGAAGCAGCCCGTGAGCCATCCAGGGTCTCCAGTCCACTGACTAGATGCCGTTCTCCATCTCCGCCCCACGTCTTCACTCTCCTCTGCCGTGGGCCTCCGCCACGTGCCCTCCACACTCTCTCGTCCCTGTCACTTTGCTGCCCGCCCGCATCCAGTTCCAGCTACTGCACACCTGCCCCAGGGCAGCCGAATGCAGCTGGAAAATGTGTTCTCATTTTGAGTTCATTGCCACCCGCCTCCAGGCAGCTCTCAGCACCTGGCCACAGTCGCCTTGCTCCCCGTTTACCTCGAGAACCGTCTCCCGCCTTCTCTTCTCGTCTCCCCCTCCCCTTCCTTCTCCTCCTCTCTCTTCTCTTCCCTAAACTCCGCCTCTCTCGCTCTCAGCGGATGACCTCACTCCTCATCCTGTCCCTCCAGAAAATGTTTAGAGAGAGAGAGAGAGAACATTCTCACCGTCCCGTCACCAGGTCTAACGATCGCCTTGCGTCAGCCATGGCTCTGCAGCCTGTCCTGTGTCGATGGCCGATGACCCCACTGTTCGCTGAATCCCACCAACCCCTCCTTTCCTAAGGACTTTTCTCCTGCGATTTTTCTCTTTCTCTCCTGGATCACCAGTTGTCCCCTCCTCTGTGCCGAGTCATTCCCGTCAGCGGACGAAGCGCCGCGTGCCGCAGGCTGTGCTGGCCGTTTCCCCGTCATCGGTTCTCATGATCTTTTGCGCCATCTGAGTTAGGCTCTGACCGACCCGACCGAAACAGTGCTTCTGTCCCCGTCAGGATGGCTGCCATCGCCCCGAGCCCGGCGGCCAGTCCTTAGACCTCACGATGCAGGCGGCCTCCTTCCGCTCCTCGATGCGTCCTCTTTCCTAGTGTCAGCTGACCTCGCGCCTTCCTGATTCCCCCGTTTACCTCGAGAACCGTCTCCCGCCCTCTCTTCTCGTCTCCCCCTCCCCTTCCTTCTCCTCCTCTCTCTTCTCTTCCCTAAACTCCGCCTCTCTCGCTCTCAGCGGATGACCTCACTCCTCATCCTGTCCCTCCAGAAAATGTTTAGAGAGAGAGAGAGAGAGAGAGAGAGAGAGAGAGAGAACATTCTCACTGTCCCGTCACCAGGTCTAACGATCGCCTCGCGTCAGCCATGGCTCTGCAGCCTGTCCTGTCTCGATGGCCGATGACCCCACTGTTCACTGAATCCCACCAACCCTTCCTTTCCTAAGGACTTTCCTCCTGCGATTTTCCTCTTTCTCTCCTGGATCACCAGTTGTCCCATCCTCTGTGCCGAGTCATTCCCGTCAGCAGACGAAGCGCTGCGTGCCGCAGGCTGTGATGACCGTCTCCCCTTCATCGGTTCTCATTATCTTTTGCGCCATCTGAGTTAGGCTCTGACCGACCCGACCGAAACAGTGCTTCTGTCCCCGTCAGGATGGCTGCCATCGCCCCGAGCCCGGCGGCCAGTCCTTAGACCTCACGATGCAGGCGGCCTCCTTCCGCTCCTCGATGCGTCCTCTTTCCTAGTGTCAGCTGACCTCGCGCCTTCCTGATTCTTCGCCCACCTCCCTCCATTCCTCCTCAGTATCTGAATTTTCTCCGGCTCTTCGCACCCTCTAAATAAACATCGGAGTGTCCCAGGGCTCAGCCCCGTGTGACCTGCTTTCATCTATTTGCATCCGTGTGCCAGGTTGCCTTCCATTCTCTTCGCTTTAAATAACGTCCGTAGACTGAACTTCAGAATTCTATCCGTAGCCCCGACCTCACTCCTGAAATCCAGATGTGCGGATTCTCTTCCACGTCCAGCAGGCGTCTCCAACCCAGCAGGTCCCAAGTAGCTGTATTGATTTGAGTTCCTGAAGCCACTTCGCTCCCAGTGTTCCCTGTCCTGTCCCCATTGCTCACATCGGAAGTGTCGGGGTAAAGCTTGGTTCCTCTGTCCCACACCCGAGAGCCAAGTCATCAGCAAATCCCCAGCACAGATGCCGTATCTTCCCGTCGCTCACCACCAGCCCCCGCCCCGGCCAGGCTTGTCTCCCCCTCTCTCCGGTGCTCCCCCTGTTTCTCTCCTACTCTCCCCAGACCGTCCTGGACGCCCAGAAGCTTCGCGTCTTCCCGGTCCCTCCTCGCTCACTCCTCTCCAGTCGCAGGGACTTTGTCGCTCTCCCATGAGCCAAGCCCTTTCCCACCCCAGCGCCTTCTTCACCTCTGATCGTGTCCTGGAAACGCCCAAACTCTGTCTTCAGTGTCTGGCTCCTTGTCACCCTCCAGGACCCTGCTCCAACGTTAGCTGTGCCCAGAGCACCTGGCCAGCCACACTCTGTGAGCCAGCAACGCCCACCTGCATTTCTCTGTCCCCTAACCTGGCATCCACCAAGCTGTTTCCTTTCAAGCACTTACCAGTATGCCGCGTTTTAGTATTAATATGTTTCTTTACTTACTTACTGTTTGACCTTGGGTGGCCTATTAAATGGCTAGGGCTCAGGTTCCTCCTCTGTAAGATAAGGACAATAATAGCTTCCAGCCCATGAGATTGTCGAGAAAATCTTGTCCTTTGTAAGTACACAGTGTGTGCTAAGTAATAGCTTTCAAAATAACATACTTCACAATTTTGGCTTTATCCTGCCCATCAAATGGAGTGGGAATAATGAGAATTAGATAAACAAAGACACAAACATTGAAACGAGTATGAAGCTCGTTCTTCATTAGCCTTTTATCTGTTTGTTTGCGAAGATTCTTTATAGAGCACTGAGTCCCTTAAAAGTCAAAATATTATCAGAAAAAGAAAAAGCTAAAAGAGTTGAAAATGGTTGCGTCTATGAAGCCGAAACTGGGTGTGGGGCAGGTGTCTATTTTTCTTTGTTATACTGTCGGTACTATTTGACATATAACTTTGATAGAAGGAAGCTTTAATTAAAAAAGAAAACAGACTGGAAGGAAATACCGTGACATGTTATCAGGAGATCTCGGGGGGTGGGGGAATTAATGGCTTTTTTTTGTTTTCTTCTTCTAAATTTATAAAATGATCCATAATGTACTTATGTATTTTTTTACACTGCAAAATAAGGCATATGCTTTTCATCTATTAACTAAATATTGGGAGGCTTACTGGAGGACTCAGTAGCAGGATGCATTGCCAGTATGCGCTAGACTGAAAATTATAACTCCTGGGGTAAAGCAGAGGACACACCAGTCAGTTAAGGCAGAATACTCGGCATGAATACGGCAGTCAAGCCGAAGGGGTCAAGCAGACGGGGCGGGGGCGTTTATGGCAGAGAGGAGATCCATCCCAAACAATGCAAGGGAGATAAGCCAGAGGGAGGACCCTGCTCTGCATTCTGATCGCTAAGGGATTGTTCCTGGGAACAAGAATAAACACTTCTGAAAGGTGGTTGAAAAGAGGGCCAGGCAGAGCGAGAACCAGGTAGGCACAAAACAGACAGTTTCAGGGTCATCCAACATTCCAAGCATCATGTTTCCATTTAAGTAAAAGCCCCTGGCCAAAGCGGGTTTGCCAAAAGACCATTTATTCCACATTAGGGAAGGAGAGCAAGCTCTGAAAGCCAGCACTCCCGTGTCTGGCTGTCTGGGAGGAACGGGAGGTGGGTCTCAATTCACACTCGTCACTGTTAACCTTGACAATGGCCCAGAGCTCCGAGATCTCTTTTGACAGCAGGCAGAAGTGTTTTTGCAAATTCGGATGCTTGGAACTTGGAAATGTCAGGAGGCGAAGCATCACGCTGCCTTGCCCGCTTACTGGGAACGTGCTGTCTTTGCAGGACGGGTGGTCCCAGTATCACTTCGTAGCCTCGTCTTCAACCATCGAGAGGGATCGGCAAAGGCCCTACTCCTCCTCCCGCACGCCCTCCATCTCCCCTGTGCGTGTGTCTCCCAACAACCGCTCAGGTAAGACGTGTCCGGAGCCAGCCTGGTCTCCCTCCTTCCCGGCCCCTTAGCGGACCCTGCCGACAGGACAGCCATCCCTATGCCAACAGTTGCTGGAAATGGCAAATGGATCTGTTTTCTTTGGGTTTCAGTGGGGACTCTGTGGTAGGAATATACAGACTCAGAGCAAACGTCTCTTTCTAACAGATTTCTAGAAATCTCTAACGGCCGTCACGCACAGGAAATGCATGTCGTGGACCCACATGCACTGAGGAATGAGGTTGAAGAAGAAACGTTGAGTGTTTGCATGTCAGGGTTTTCCAACTTAAAGTAGTTTGAGCTGCATTTTATTCATTAGAATTGGGATAACCCAGGAAAGGGGGGAGGACGTGCCGTCTCTCCCTTTACAATGACATCCACTGGAACTACGTCACTGCGGGTTTCATTCCTACCCCATGTCCGATTAGCTTGTCGTTATTACCTTTAAACCGGCGGATAAATCACTGATAAATTTTTATTACAACCGGCCATAACTTTTAGGTCATTTAATGTCTCTTCCCTCACTTTGTCACCTTCCCATTGCTTAAATTCCCTTATTTACTTGTAGAAGGACTTGACGTTTACACCCCTTTCAGTCACATCCTATAACGCCAAAGAGTAGAGAAAAAAAAAGGCGAAATATGAGCACATCATTTAGTTTATGAGGAACCTGAGTTTTATTGTGGCTTTAGTCAAAGTATAAGTTTTTAAAACTTTGCTTTTGATGTCTGCACTTCAGTTTTTGTTGTAAGAAAGAAGGATGGAGAAAGAGCTACACGTGTGCGTGCACACGTACACACACGCACGCGCACACACGCACGGGCTTTTATTTAAGAAAAGTCGCTTCTTGTTCTTCTCTGCCCTTTTTCCACTGAGGAAGGAATATTTCCTGGAATACAATTCCCAGGGGATGGCAGAGAGCGTGGCCCAGCAGAGTCCCCTCCGCCCTGGAGGACGTGCGTCATATAACCTCACACCACACTTTACTGTCAGGATGATGGAGAAAATCCGAAATGAATGGGGTATATCTGACTGAAATAAATGAGCCTCTCCCAGCCTCCCGAAAGCTTGTATTTTCGGTGTGGTGTTATTGCTTAGAACGTTAGTCCCACCCTAAACGACCCACCCTTCACGACTGGAGAAATGTCCACCTCTCTCAGAAGCACGGAGGTGGCCTTTTATGCTCACATTTCTGCAGTTCTTAAAGAGGTAAAGACCGTTGAATCTGGGAAGCATGAGGATGGCGTCTTGAAGAGCTCTAATTACTAAGAAGCAGTCAGTGCTAGGAAGATGAAGTGTCACAGTAGAGTGGAAGGTGCCAGAAGGAGCAGCAGCATCCTATTAGGATGTTAACATGCCAGCCACTTAGTGGGGGCGCTGCCCGGCCTTTCCTAACTAAGGCACGTCAAAGACACCTAGTAAACACTTGTTTGCATGATTTCGTTTCTCCCAAGTGTCACCCTGATTTCCCGGAGACCACCGTGTGTGTGTGTGTGTGTGTGTGTGTGTGTGTGTGTGTGTGTGAGGTCTCAGAAGATAATTACACACTTAACATAGTTTAATAAACCTCCCCATCTGTGCAATACTAGATTCTAATTTTAAAAGCTTCGGTCAAGAGGCTCCAAAATACCTTCCTTTTGTGATGGCCATGCAGTGACTAATGAAAGGCTCGCCTTGATGCAGGAAGCCCAAGAAGCCAAGGAGCTCTTAAGGGCAAGAGAGGGACTCTTCCGGGAGCGGAGGAGGGAGAGCAGGAGAGAGGGGCAGAGGGTGGAGGAGGTGAGCGGGACACAGCAGACGATGGTCTGAGAACACGCAGGAACTGGACAGTGCCATCGAGTTACGCGGGGCATTCATGGTTTGCTTCTCCGTCTTCCCACTGAATTTACAACCAGAGATTCTGGTCCAGCCGGTTTCGGGTGAGACTCAAGCATCTGTATTTATTCAAGCATTCCAAGTAATTAATTCTCGGCCCGGATCAGCAACCTCTGAGGGTTTTCAAGGGCTGAGCAGCGAGCCTCAATTTTATGTTGATAGGTCTGAGACGTGGGCGGGAGGCATTTCAGGACAGGCGGGATGGGCAAAGGATCCCTCTGTTTACCTTCCCAGCGCTTGGCTGTGGTGTCTGCTGAGCACCCTGCCTCTCGTTCTGGTTTGTTTGCACGTGCATCTCCTCGGCTGAGTGAGCACCCCTGTAGTTTAGAGTGCGACACGATTCCCGTTTCTGTCCCCCGCTGTCAGCGTAGAGATTTGCACTAGACGATAACTAGGTTTGGTGACATGAATCGAATGGTTCAGACAGTGAAAAGAAAGGTAGGTTCAGGGGTCAGGCTTACCCAATGGGCTGGAGCTGTGGGCCGGATGCAGAGAGTGTGTACGATAAGCCTCAGGGTAAACTGAGGCTTGATTGGGGAGAGGCTTGGACGCTAGCCAAGGAAAGAGGGCTTTAGCATTAAAAAAATCAGTTCCCCACAGTTTCCATAGCCTTAATGGTCACCACATCTGCATGCTAAGTATGAATTCCTACGCCCATCTACTGAAAAGTCAGACTCAGCTCTAGGACGGGGGCAGTGGGGGGTGGCGGGGCTTTGAGGCGGGATGGTACTTTGCTAAGCTCATACCGAGTTAGCTGCCACTGGTTAAGCTCCAGCTGTGAGTCGGGGCGCTGGTGAGCAGCGTGGAGCCCCACACGCGGGCAGCCACCAGGCGGGGCGCACAGCTAGCCAGCTCACTGTCAGCACACGCCCGTGTCACTCGAGCTCCTCCCACACGTCTCTGCATCAGCAGGGCTGTTTAGTTCCTCCCGGTCCATCCGATCTCTCAAGAAAACTAAGCCTCTTTTTATTTGCTTCCTTACCTCCAAGTTCAGCTTTTCCTGTGTCGTACAACCAGTGTGTTAAGAATCACGGATTCCCAGGGAACCCTCTAATTACAACCCATCCTCGTAGAGCTGGAGACACAAAGGTCATTCCAAGGCTCACTCCGTGGTCCGACAGGCTGCAAAGGGATGAGACGCAAGGTGTGGGTGAGAGATAGTTGGGGACATTCATCGAGAGCTGGAGCAAGGACACCCCACCGGGGAAAATGAGCTGTCCTCACACCCTGCCCCGGCCCACCCGGCAGGCTCATCTCTGCGGGGCGGCTTATCCAGCCCCACAGATCATCCTGTGTGGAGAACTTCTTCCTCCGCTTTCCTTTAGCGCAGTTTCTGGGTGACTTAGTATGTCAGTAAAACTGCATTTATTCTAATCAGGTATTTTTCAGTATCAGTCGTAGCTCCTCTGAAACACATGTAACTAATAAAAAGAAGGAAGGACGAAGAAAGGAAGTAAAAGAGGGAGGGAGAGTGGAAGGAAGGAAAAGAGAAATAAAGAAACCAAGACCAATCTCGTTCTTAAAACTGTCCCATACACCTGGGGCAGGTCGTGTCCCCGCCAGATGTCTAAGGAAGACGGCTCCAGGATATATTCTTTAATTACCCGCCCCCAAGCCATGTGTCCCCTTAGCTACAAAGCACCAAATAACACAGGGCAAGAGAATGGATAAAGAAAGAGGCCAAAACAACAAGCAAATCGACAGGTCCGTGCACACGTACTGACGTGTTGAGCCAGGTGCATTTATGGCCTGAACCGTTTATGCGGAAAGCTGTCCGTGCCGTGGAATGAGACACGGAAAGTCATCCTTTTATTTCTTTATGTAGCAAGTGCCCCAGCTTCACCTCGGGAAATGATCAGCCTCAAAGAGAGGAAGACAGACTACGAGTCCACTGGCAGCAATGCCACTTACCACGGAACTAAAGGGGAACACACTTCCAGGAAAGACACCGTGACAGGTGAGCTCAGCTTCGCGTTTCCTCCTCGGATGGAGCTCCTGGATCTGGGACCGGGCGGAGGGCTGGGACTTCGGACTTCGGGCCATACTTGACAGCTCAGCAGGAGTCAACAGCTAGGTCACTTGAGAGCTTGACAGCAAAGATCCCTGGGGATTGGAGATGAGAGAATCAAGCCAGAGGTATGAAAACCGAGCGTCTCGGTTTTGAAAATAGCT